TGCACATAACCATTAGGAGTACCAAAATATCTCTAAAACCCATGGACATTACTGTACTTACGACATTTATTTAGTTCCTTACCTATAGGCTACATGTAACATCAGTTAAATGTCATACTGGTCAGTCTATCGTTCTTAAACAACAAACGCACAACACAGTCCAGCTTTTGTCAAATGAGGACGTGTATAAGAACATGTAAAACAAACGTTTACAAATAATCAATAGAATTACAGGGTTTAATGCCAGTACAAGCATACATATCAAAGTCACGACACTATCACTAACCCTCTGAAGCGATTGATTCCATGTGACATTACACAATAAAGGATTAGCTGTGTAGACTTGTAATAGTTATTTCTGTAGTTTGTTAAAGAAAGAGCACTTTTGATTGGTTGTTTGAAAGAAGGCATTTCATTAGATGGGTAGTCGTATAAATAGAGGTTCCACCAGACGAAAAGCTTTTTCTCGGATGCTGACAGACGAACGTAAAGGATCTCTAGCTGAGCATAAAAGGTAACAGTGACCCAAGCTGAAAAAGTTTGGGCCTAGCTGAATAAGTTAGGGCTCCACTGTAATCCTTTAAAATCGGAACCAATAATTCTTACACGTCTTATACAAATGTACATAGTCACGGGAAATCACAGTACAGGGTAATGTGTAGTTGATCAGGTACAGTGACAGGGTACGGAGGCACAGGTTTTGCCGAGACACAGTGTATAGCTGCTGACTTGGTCCAAGTGGTTGAGGCAAAAGGTGACGCAGTCAATGCACGTGTGTCGCGGTGAAGGCTGACGTGGTCAAAGTGTGTCACGGTCAAGTTTGTACAGTCACGGGTGTTGTGGTAAAAGGTTAATTATTTACTACCGACACAGGGTGGCGGGTATATATGTGATATAGTGTTTTAGTTGGTATTGAGACTCTATACATGTCAGTGTTAAGGTGCAATAAATGTTAGTTATCTACCGGGTGTAGTTTAGAGTATAGTTATTGAATTCGTATAGTTTATATCATTATTTGAGTCAGGTAGACAGGCCAGTATTTTGTATATATATTGTGGGCATTTTACTATTTGTTAAACAGTTACTGGGTCCAAGATAAAACTTGGTAACGAACTGACAGTACGCATCCGTTATACTTCTGTCTATAAACGTGAAAACACGTGAGACGTATTTTCTCACTGACTTTTATGTTAAATTCTGTACCAGTTAATTTTTACCAATTGTATGATGTACTCACTTCAACTATGGAGTCATGTGTCCCATTGATTACATCACGGTAACGAGACTTTCCAACATGGTATGATAGTGACCTTATAGCTATGGTCAAAACGAAAGAACTGCGCACAAAGCCAATGTCAAGGCCGGTAGAGGATGTTGATACACTATTACGTTTCGCCTAAATAATCTGTAATCAATCTGCAAGATTATGTAACCGAGGTAGCCTCGTTTTTTTCATTCTAATAAACAGCATGGCAGCAGCATGTTCGTCTGTGTTTACTCCCAGCTAACAACTCGTCAACATGGTGGCAGCATCGATGAGAACTGGGTAAAATGGATCTAAAACGTACTGTAAGTGTACCAGATTGTTCATGATCCCCCCCTAAAAGCAGTCATGGCTTCTAATAACGCCGATATGGAAAGGGAAAACGCCGAGCATGGTCAAGTCGCCCCTCGCGCTCCACATGTTCAACAGATCAACACAAATTTGAGATTACCCCCTGAACTGAATATTCACTCAGGTAATGTGTCTGAAAACTTCAAAACGTGGCGAAGGCATGTTGAAATATATCTAACGGCTAGTGGTATAGCGACAATGGGAGCGAACATTCAAACATTCAAACGGCAACAATTATAAACTGTGGTGGTGAGGCTCTATTAAAGGCATATGATCATTTCACGTGGGAAGAGGGTAAAGACAAGAATAACCCTGCGTATGTATTTGACAAAATCCGTGATTACTGTAATCCATGTCAAAATGAAGTCGCTGAATCTCACAAGTTCTGGACCTGTCAGTATTTTGATCCCTTTGACCAATTCTTAACGGAGCTTCGTTCACGCACAGTGTCGTGCAATTTTGGTACACAAGAAGATCGAATGATACGGGACAAATTCGTATTTAGCGTTACTGGAAAGGTTCAACAGTTACTCCTACGTGATGACGATTTAACACTAAAACGAGCAGTTAAGATCTGCCAGTCTTACGAGCAGGCCAACAAACAGGTTAGTCAAATGAAGGAACTTCCCTATAAGGACCAACACAGCTCTAGAGGTCTACACAAGGTCAAATCAGATTATCAAAAAAAGTCTAACCCCAACCAGAAGGGTAAACCTAAATACCGCCAAGATGATAAAGCTATTAAGGATCCTGGCGTCAAGGAATGTCGTTTTTGTGGTAAGACACATGCCATGAAAAAGGAAATGTGTCCAGCTTGGGGGAAAACCTGTTCCCAATGTAACGGACGGAATCATTTCAAGGTAAAATGTAAGAAAAAAAATCTCCACATTGTTGGTGCTGAAGCAGGGAACTCTGATTCTGATGATGATAATGACCGTTGGCTTCACACATTGAATGAAAACAAAAACAAAAGAATAATTACCGCTACGATGACCGTAAATGATACAGCAGTGAGTTTTCAGTTAGATAGTGGTGCAGATGTAAACACCATTAACCAATGCTTTGTACGCAAGGAACAGGTTCGCAGAACACATCTGACACTACACATGTTTAACAACACCACTCTCAAACCCTTGGGTGAGACCGAACTCTGAGTAAGGAACCCTAAAACCAATGAAGCATATTTAGTGAAATTTGTGGTCATACCTAACAAACTACAAAATATTTTGGGCCTGAAATCGATACAAATGCTTGGTCTAGTAACCGTAAACAAGGAACGCTTTGTCGGAAGAATTGGGTCTTCGGTTAGTGAACTTGGTGACCTAGGGGAGGCAATTCTAGCGCTCGACCCCAACATTAAGCCTAAGGCACTACCATGTCGGAAACTCCCAATTGCACTCCAGGACCAGGTCAAAGCGGAATTGGACAGTCTTGTGGATAGGAAGATCCTAATACCTATCACCAAACCCACTGCATGGGTAAATCAAATGGCTGTGGCCCACAAGGCCAATGGGAAATTGAGGATATGTTTAGACCCTCAAGTACTGAATACAGCTCTACAGAGGGAGCACTACAAGCTGCCCACACTGGATGATGTTCTTCCAAAACTGAACAATGCTCGCATCTTCAGCAAACTGGATGTTAAGGAAGCCTTTTGGCACATACGACTCGATGAAAAATCTAGTGAGTACACTACCATGATCACACCATTTGGACGCTACAGGTGGGCACGACTTCCTTTTGGCTTAAAGGTATCAAGCGAGATTTTTCAAAGGAAACTGAATGAAGCTCTCGAAGGGTATCTTCGCGATAGCTGACGATATCATTATCACGGGAAAGGGCACAACCGACGAGATAGCCCTGAAAGACAACGAGCAGAAACTGAAAATATTCTACGAGCGGTGTCATGAAAGGAACATCGTACTAAATGAAGAAAAAAAAGGCAACAGGCCTAAAGGAAATAATTTTCCACGGACATACTATTACTACTGACGGCGTCAGAGCTGATCCTCAAAAGATTGAGGCTATTCTCAAAATGGCCAGTCCGACAGACGTAGCGGGTGTACGTCGATTTTGTGGTATGGTACAGTACATGGCCAGATTTCTACCCTCTCTTTCTACTTTAATGGAACCTCTGCGTGAGTTAACACGAAAGACTCTGATTTCAAGTGGACGTCATCTCATGAAGTGTGTTTTGGTAAGGTGAAACAGGCTCTTACCTCGACACCGATCTTGGCTTACTATAACCCTGACGAAGAACTGGTAATACAAGTGGATAGCAGCAAAGATGGGATTGGAGCGGTTATGATGCAAAACGGGAAGCCTGTTGAGTATGCATCCCGTGCCCTTACTTCTTGTGAAAGGAAGTGGGCTCAAATTGAAAAGGAGGCTCTTGCTACTCTGTACGGAGTCGAACGTTTTAACCAATATACATATGGGCGCAAGGTGATTATAGAAAATGCTCACAAGCCTTTGGAGTCAATCTTAAAGAAACCTCTCAGTTCTGCTCCTAGGAGACTACAAGACATCATAATGAAGCTCTACAGGTATGATGTTGAGTTCCAATTTCTCAAAGGCACATCGCTAGTCATTGCTGACACGCTAAGCCGAGCATTCCTGGATGAGGCAAGACAGCGGATCATGAACATAAGAGTTCATGAGGATATACCTGATGTGCGACTTGAGGAAATACGCAAGACAACATTGGCCGACCCAGAGTTGCAGGTGCTAGCTGACGTCATAACTACAGGATGGCCAGACACCAAGGAGAAGGTCCTAAGTACATGTAAATCTTACTATGATATTAGAGACACACTAGGTATTGTTGATGGCTTGGTAGTGAAGGGAGAAGCTGTTGTGATCCCGAAAGCCCTCAGATCCGACATCAAATTAAGATTACACAAATCACATGCAGGATTTGACTCAATGATGAGGAGAGCAAAGGGTACTGTATATTGGCCCTCTATGAAGAGCGAGATCAAGCAAATGGCGGAAACATGTGAGGCTTGTCAAGAAATGGCGCCAAGATCTGTCAAACCTCCACTAAAACAACACTATGATGGAGATTCGCCATAGAGCAAAGTAGGCCTTGACCTTTTTGAAATAAAAGGAAGACAGTACCTGGTAACTATTGACTACTATAGCAATTATATAGAGGTTGACTACCTCTCAAAGGTGACCTCTACTGGAGTGGTGAACATCTTAAAGAAACAGTTTGCCCATTTTGGAATCCCAAAGACAATCGTGTCTGATGGTGGCCCGCAGTTCACATCAAAGGAATTCCAACTCTTTACAGATTTATGGGGTATAAGTCACGTGACATCATCTCCACAGCATCAACGCGCAAATGGTAAGGCAGAATCAGCTGTTAAAGTGATCAAACACCTCATGCTAAAATGTGAAAGAAACAAGGAGGACCAATGCGAAGCTCTGATGGAACAGAGGAATATTTCAAGACAGGATACTGGACTAAGTCCAAGTGAGATGCTTTTCGGTCGTAAGACGCGCACGCTTCTTCCTCATTTACCCCGTGCTCTCAATGATGAGGATATGACCAGGAAACGCGAGCAGCGAAAGAAAAGTGTGAAGCGTTATTATGACAAAACAGCTCGCGATTTACCATGTGTTTCGGAAGGGAAGAGTGTGTATTTCCAGCACAAGGAACATGAGCGGTGGATCCTAGGGCGCGTAATAGAATGCAATAGTGATCGTACTTACATGATACAGGCTCAAAGTGGTGCAATCTATCGCCGAAACCGAATGCATCTCCGTCCTACAAAGGTGGAAGCAGTTATTCGCGATAACTCACCATGTACACGTCGTCAGGGTAACCAAGTAAATAACACGCCTGTATCGAGAAACATTATGGTATCACCGGAACGGAAAACATTAGAACATGATGATAAGTATGTACATGTTTCAAGCGAAGAGATCGTCAAGACGAAGACTGAAACAATGGAACAAAACAGTATGGAACCATTACCTGTTAAAGTGGAACAATCTGACGTCACTGTGGTTCCAACGCGTCGCTCAGAGAGAACACGAAAGGAACCAACCTATTTTAAAGACTTTGTGCGCTACTAGTAAATTTGACTGGTTCCTAAAATCGTGAACATTTATGTCAGCTATAGTTATAAGAGTTCTTTCCAGTGTTTTGATAAGGGCAAATAAGTTGATTGAAACATTTGAAATAGTTTGAAAAAGCGTTTATTTAGTTAATATGTTACAGAGTTTATTGAACATTTTGTTATTATTTCACTGCCAGTAGAATTAATTATTTTAGAGAAGTATCTGAAATAAGTCTTTTCAGAATATTATTTTGCCTCACTTGGCAACTCAAACTCTAGTCATAAAGACTCTATCAACAATATACATGTACAGCATAGTATGGTGATTTGATAATAATATCCAAAGTATTAACTTTTCTTAAAGAAAGAGGGATGTTGATACACTATTACGTTTCGCCTAAATAATCTGTAATCAATCTGCAAGATTATGTAACCGAGGTAGCCTCGTTTTTTTCATTCTAATAAACAGCATGGCAGCAGCATGTTCGTCTGTGTTTACTCCCAGCTAACAACTCGTCAACATGGCGGCAGCGTGTTCGTCTGTGTTTACTCCCAGCTAACAACTCGTCAACATGGCGGCAGCGTGTTCGTCTGTGTTTACTCCCAGCTAACAACTCGTCAACATGGCGGCAGCGTGTTCGTCTGTGTTTACTCCCAGCTAACAACTCGTCAACATGGCGGCAGCGTGTTCGTCTGTGTTTACTCCCAGCTAACAACTCGTCAACATGGCGGCAGCGTGTTCGTCTGTGTTTACTCCCAGCTAACAACTCGTCAACATGGCGGCAGCGTGTTCGTCTGTGTTTACTCCCAGCTAACAACTCGTCAACATGGCGGCAGCGTGTTCGTCTGTGTTTACTCCCAGCTAACAACTCGTCAACATGGCGGCAGCGTGTTCGTCTGTGTTTACTCCCAGCTAACAACTCGTCAACATGGCGGCAGCGTGTTCGTCTGTGTTTACTCCCAGCTAACAACTCGTCAACATGGCGGCAGCGTGTTCGTCTGTGTTTACTCCCAGCTAACAACTCGTCAACATGGCGGCAGCGTGTTCGTCTGTGTTTACTCCCAGCTAACAACTCGTCAACATGGCGGCAGCGTGTTCGTCTGTGTTTACTCCCAGCTAACAACTCGTCAACATGGCGGCAGAATGTTCGTCTGTGTTTACTCCCAGCTAACAACTCGTCAACATGGCGGCAGCATGTTCGTCTGTGTTTACTCCCAGCTAACAACTCGTCAACATGGCGGCAGCATGTTCGTCTGTGTTTACTCCCAGCTAACAACTCGTCAACATGGCGGCAGCATGTTCGTCTGTGTTTACTCCCAGCTAACAACTCGTCAACATGGCGGCAGCATGTTCGTCTGTGTTTACTCCCAGCTAACAACTCGTCAACATGGCGGCAGCATGTTCGTCTGTGTTTACTCCCAGCTAACAACTCGTCAACATGGCGGCAGCATGTTCGTCTGTGTTTACTCCCAGCTAACAACTCGTCAACATGGCGGCAGCATGTTCGTCTGTGTTTACTCCCAGCTAACAACTCGTCAACATGGCGGCAGCATGTTCGTCTGTGTTTACTCCCAGCTAACAACTCGTCAACATGGCGGCAGCATGTTCGTCTGTGTTTACTCCCAGCTAACAACTCGTCAACATGGCGGCAGCATGTTCGTCTGTGTTTACTCCCAGCTAACAACTCGTCAACATGGCGGCAGCATGTTCGTCTGTGTTTACTCCCAGCTAACAACTCGTCAACATGGCGGCAGCATGTTCGTCTGTGTTTACTCCCAGCTAACAACTCGTCAACATGGCGGCAGCATGTTCGTCTGTGTTTACTCCCAGCTAACAACTCGTCAACATGGCGGCAGCGTGTTCGTCTGTGTTTACTCCCAGCTAACAACTCGTCAACATGGCGGCAGCATGTTCGTCTGTGTTTACTCCCAGCTAACAACTCGTCAACATGGCAGCAGCATGTTCGTCTGTGTTTACTCCCAGCTAACAACTCGTCAACATGGCAGCAGCATGTTCGTCTGTGTTTACTCCCAGCTAACAACTCGTCAACACAGGACGTGATTTTCTTGAGTATGTTATTTTTACTACTCTACGTAGGGAGTTCAAATCTCTCCAAACATCTAAGTACACTGACTATATCATCAACATTGAACATTCTGTAAAAAAAACAATTCCAAACGTTTTGGGAATTTGTTAAAGCGGAAGGAGGGGACTGTCTCAGTCTCGGAGTGTTCGTCGTCGTCTTCCTACAGTGTTAAAAATGAATTTGATTGTCTTCTAAGCACATTTGTTTTGAAATGCACTGATGTTCAGAAGGCACTTGCACAAATAGATGTAAAAAAATCTTGTGGCTAGAACAGCAATACTGGTGTAGTATTTAAATAGTGTGCTGATTTGTTATGTGTAACACTGTGTAACATTTTCAACAGTTTGTTGAACGATGGTATATATCATTCATTTCCAAAATGCTCATTTTTCAAATTTTATAAATCCGCTTATATGTCATGAGCAACACGGTTTTATTCCAAACCATTCTACTGTTCCAAACCTTGCATATTTTACCAGTCAGATTTGCAAAGCCTTTGACGAAAAAGTATAATTACATGTGGTATATACTGATTTTTCAAAGGTTTAGACAAAGTAAACCACATATTATTATTGTACAAGGTAAAATTTCAGTGTTCAGAAGGTAGTATGTTAGATTGGTTTACTAATCATTGAAAAGACAAATTCCTACGTGTCACTGTCAATGGGGTAAAATCTGGTTAGTGTGAGGTAACTTCTGGTGTGCCCAAAGGGGCGTTACTTGGGCCTACACTTTTCCCTGTTTTCATCAATGAATTGCCATCTGTTGCAAAATTTTCTAAAACTGTTATGTTTGCAGACGACAATAAAACTTGCGTAAGAACGCTTTCAGAGTGTGAGTAGCTACAGAGTGATATAGATAGAGTGTATGATCGGTGTTCTATGTGGAAAATGAATCCGAAGAAGTGTTGCCAGGTCATTTTTGCTCGGTTTTACAAAACGTACTTGTTTTACAAAAATACCTGTTTTAAGGTCTGTATACCTTAGTCTTGTCATGAGTCAGAATTCTGTTGTCAGATTTGGTCTCCTTGCCAAACATCTTTAATTCACCGACTGGAAATTTTGGAATTTTGTATGTTTTTAAGGCACACGTTAATTACAATTCCTTGTCTTACGCTGACACTTGTAGACATTTTAGTCTCCCTAGCCTCGAAAACAGGCTGGTATTTTTATACTATGTCTTTCTTTTCAAATGCGTAAATAAAGTTTTTGACTGCCCCTGGTCGTAATCTGCGGTCAATTCGTTTTAATCAGTTTTACATTTAAAAATGTTAGAAAGCACAGTGTTTTAAACAGGATTCAAGAGGATTCAATGCATTATTAACTCTCTTCATATTCCACCAGACTGTGTTTTATCTCTGGCAGAGTCCACAGAACATTTAAAGAATATTTTTATCACTAGTTCTATTTGCTTTACCCGAGTGTATCGTTAAGTCTGTTTTACATGCATAACTGACTGTGATGTTTTATTCTGTAGAATTATAAATAAATTAACTTACTATATATTATCATCAATTCTTCTGCAGTGTGTTATGTAACAACGCTAACATGGAGGCTTTGTACGTCGCCATAACACTGTTGTGCGTATCCTTGGACCCTACTCAATCGAAAGTAAGTACTTCCCAGATGACGCGACTCAATCGAAAGTAAGTACTTCCCAGATGACCCGACTCAATAGAAAGGAAGTACTTCCCAGATGACCCGACTCAATCGAAAGTAAGTACTTCACAGATGACCCGACTCAATAGAATGTAAGTACTTCCCAGATGACTCAACTCAATCGAAAGGAAGTACTTCCCAGATGACTCAACTCAATAGAAAGTAAGTACTTCACAGATGACCCGACTCAATAGAAAGTAAGTACTTCCCAGATGACCCGACTCAATAGAAAGGAAGTACTTCCCAGATGACTCGACTCAATCGAAAGTAAGTACTTCCCAGATGACGCGACTCAATAGAAAGGAAGTACTTCCCAGATGACCCGACTCAATAGAAAGGAAGTACTTCCCAGATGTCTCAACTCAATAGAAAGTAAGTACTTCCCAGATGACTCAACTAAATCGAAAGTAAGTACTTCACAGATGACCCGACTCAATAGAAAGTAAGTACTTCCCAGATGACTCAACTCAATCGAAAGGAAGTACTTCCCAGATGACCCGACTCAATAGAAAGTAAGTACATCCCAGATGACCCGACTCAATCGAAAGTAAGTACTTCCCAGATGACTCAACTCAATAGAAAGTAAGTACTTCACAGATGACCCGACTCAATAGAAAGTAAGTACTTCCAAGATGACTCAACTCAATCGAAAGGAAGTACTTCCCAGATGGCCCGACTCAATAGAAAGGAAGTACTTCCCAGATGACCAGACTCAATAGAAAGTAAGTACTTCGCAGATGACCCGACTCAATAGAAAGGAAGTACTTCCCAGATGACCCGACTCAATCGAAAGTAAGTACTTCCCAGATGACGCGACTCAATAGAAAGGAAGTACTTCCCAGATGACCCGACTCAATAGAAAGGAAGTACTTCCCAGATGTCTCAACTCAATAGAAAGTAAGTACTTCCCAGATGACTCAACTAAATAGAAAGTAAGTACTTCACAGACGACTCAACTCAATAGAAAGTAAGTACTTCCCAGATGACTCAACTATATAGAAAGTAAGTACTTCCCAGATGACCCGACTCAATAGAAAGTAAGTACTTCCCAGATGACCCGACTCAATAGAAAGTAAGTACTTCCCAGATGACGCGACTCAATAGAAAGTAAGTACTTCCCAGATGACCCGACTCAATAGAAAGGAAGTACTTCCCAGATGACCCGACTCAATAGAAAGGAAGTACTTCCCAGATGGGTGATGGAGTTTCATCAGTTTATACAGTTTTAGTTATGCTGTATGTTAATTATTTATGTAAGCATTTTAAGCATTCTGATAAAAGGATTAAAAAATCAAACCCACATCACTCCAGGTGAGTATAATTGTAGAACACTCAGCTGAACATGAAGACGAGATTATCTAAAAACCGCATACCAATCTTTCTATCTACATGTGGACCATAGAGATGTGAATTCAAATTGAAGTAGAGCTTTCCGTTAGTAGAGCTAGCAGGTGTGTTGTAGAGCAAACAAGAAGGTCTGTTGTAGAACATACAAGAAGGTCTGTTGTAGAGGAAACAAGAAGGTATTTTGTAGAGCAAACAAGAAGGTCTGTTGTAGAGCAAACCAGAAGGTATGTTGTACAGCAAACAAGAAAATCTGTTGTAGAGCAAACAAGAAGATCTGTTGTAGAGCAAACAAGAATATCTGTTGTAGAGCAAACAAGAAGATCTGTTGTAGAGCAAACAAGAAGATCTGTTGTAGAGCATACAAGCAGGTCATTTATACAGCATACAAGTATGTATATTCTAGACCATTTTAGTAGGTCTGCTGTAATTTGTTTTAGCACGTATATATTACAGCGTCACCAAGGTCGTTTATAGAACATTCTGGTAGATATAATGTATGATGTGAGGGCATGTCTAATGTATGATGTGAGGGCAGGTATTTTGTATTATGTGAGGGCAGGTCTATTGTATGGGTGAGGCAAAATCTATTGTATGATGTGAGGCCAGGTCTATTGTATGATATGAGGGCAGGTATATTGTATGATGTGAGGGCAGGTCTAATGTATGGGAGAGGAAAAGTATATTGTTTGATGTGAGGGCAGGTATATTGTATGGTGTGAGGGCAGGTCTAATGTATAGTGTGAGGGCAGGTATATTGTATGATGTGAGGGCAGGTCTATTGTATGATGTGAGGGCTGGTCTATTGTATGATGTGAGGGCAGGTATATTGCATGATGTGAAAGCAGGTCTATTGTATGGTGTGAGGCCAAGTCTATTGTATGGTGTGAGGCCAAGTCTATTGTATGATGTGAGGGCTGGTCTATTGTATGGTATGAGAGCAGATCTAATGTATGATGTGAGGGCAGGTCTAATGTATGGTGTGAGGGTAGATCTAATGTATGATGTGAGGGCAGGTCTAATGTATGATGTGAGGGCAGGTCTAATGTATGACGTGAGGGCAGGTCTAATGTATGATGTGAGGGCAGGTCTAATGTATGATGTGAGAGCAGGCAGGTATAATGTATGATGTGAGGGCAGGTCTAATGTATGACGTGAGGGCAGGTCTAATGTGTGATGTGAGAGCAGGCAGGTATAATGTGTGATGTGAGGGCAGGTCTAATGTATGACGTGAGGGCAGGTCTAATGTATGATGTGAGAGCAGGCAGGTATAATGTGTGATGTGAGGTCAGGTCTAATGTATGACGTGAGGGCAGGTCTAATGTATGATGTGAGAGCAGGTCTAATGTATGGTGTGAGGGCAGTTCTAATGTATGATGTAAGGGCAGGTCTAATGTATGACGTGAGGGCAGGTCTAATGTATGATGTGAGGGCAGGTCTAAAGTATGATGTGAGGGCAGGTCTAATGTATGATGTGAGAGCAGGCAGGTATAATGTATGATGTGAGGGCAGGTCTAATGTATGACGTGAGGGCAGGTCTAATGTATGATGTGAGAGCAGGCAGGTATAATGTATGATGTGAGGGCAGGTCTAATGTATGATGTGAGGGCAGGTCTAATGTATGATGTGAGAGCAGGCAGGTATAATGTATGATGTGAGGGCAGGTCTAATGTATGACGTGAGGGCAGGTCTAATGTATGATGTGAGAGCAGGCAGGTATAATGTATGATGTGAGGGCAGGTCTAATGTATGACGTGAGGCAGGTCTAATGTATGATGTGAGAGCAGGTCTAATGTATGATGTCAGGGCAGGTCTAATGTATGATGTGAGAGCAGGCAGGTATAATGTATGATGTGAGGGCAGGTCTAATGTATGATGTGAGGGCAGGTCTAATATATGATGTGAGAGCAGGTCTTAAGACGTTCAGGAGAAGAAGAGGTTAGTTATATTGTCTTGTATTTCTTTCCAGATGTGTCATGACCACGCAGGTAAAGAATTCATTATCGTGCCGTTCACGCTCACAACATCGGGTGAGATATTCCAGATTCACATTGCCAATCCTACTATGACATCAGCGATTTCTGGGACCATTGAAACACCTATAATTAGACATGATTCAAATTCTAAATTTTCAAGTGGTTTTTCAATACCGCCATCAAATCGAGTCAGTATTGTTATTCAGAATTTTGAAGTCGTCCCCGTCAATGTTATCACAGACACTGCCATTATAATAACTACAAATCTTAACGTGATCCTGTCAGTAGCTTATGGGAAAACCGGAAGTCTTGGTGGAATTCTCGTATTCCCTTCGGAAACTCTCGGAACTGAATATGTTGTTGTCACTTATAGTCCAATAACTGCAGTTGATGACAAGGCCATTCTTGTCATAGCAGCCGCGTACCCCGACACATCTATCCAACTATTCCCCGGAAGTGAAGAAGTGGAACTAGAAATAAATGGCATTCATTATTTGGGAACAGATACGGCCAATCTTGATTTAGCTCAGTATGAGAGCATAGTGATATCTTCGTCAGAAGACCTTACTGGAATCCGTGTGGTCGCCACCAAGCCAGTGGCTGTGTACAGTGGGAACATTAACCTGTCTATAAACAACGACGGTGAAACCGACGCAGCCCTAGATCAAATACCGCCCATATCGGAACTAGGCCAGTCATATATCGTTGTTACTTATCCAAGAGTACAAAAGGACTTTATAAAAATTGTGAGTACCGCAGATAACAATGAGGTTTACGTTAATAGTCTTTACCATAACGTATCTTTGGCTGGAAATTTTGTTATAACAGAATTGGAATCAACCGAAAGTGGCTCATCCGCCATTGTGACATCGTCGTATCCCGTTCTCGTTGCCCTATTTAGCGATAAAAGTCTGAACTACGATAATATAATGAGTGATGTAGCGATGACGATTGTTCCTCCAATAAAAAATTACGGTAACAGTTTTATCCTCCTTACACCGACCAAATCACTTCCGGTTTCATACACACACCACGCGGTCGTTATTTCCTCTCTGGGATATTCGGACGATCTCCGATTAGACGGTAGCAGCACTAGTCTGTCCTGGACATCATTGACGAACATGTTCCTGGGTGTGCAACATGAGTTCTCTACATCCATAGTAATATCCGAGGGAATTCACACGCTTACGTCCGTTAACGACACCCATACATTCGGAGGCTACCTGTACGGAACTACGACTGGCCAGTCTTACAGTACATCTCTTGCAGCCTTAATGGTACGTACAGACGCCAGTTTCAGGAATTCAGAATAATTTCTAACTGGTTGCTATTATTATCCCAACTTTCATCTAATTACATTCATTACTTGGAATAGTATTTCATACTATATATGGAATATTCAAGTATGACGATTCGATGACTTCACGGTTGTGGAGTGCCTAGCACTGACGTACGTAGTGTAGGAGATTGTAAGGAATCGACCAAATTTTCAGCTGTACTATGATCCTATGTACACTATAGTGTGAAAATAGTGTGACGAGATGGTAAACAGATGAAAGTTCAAAAAGACCTAAGGTCAAAAAATATACACAAGATGGTCTTTTGGTCTATAATTTGTTTGCCATCTCGTCACACTATTTTCAACCTTAGCATTAAAGAACAGTCAAAAGCAGTTGGTCGATTCCTTACAATTTCAATACGTACATCGGTGCTAGTGAGATTCACACTAGTCATTTGTCTGATGAATGTGACAATGTACTCATCGAAATATCACACACTAACCTTCTACTGGTTGTGTTATAAGATGAAGGTGACCGTGTAGTCATTGTCACACTCTAACTTTCTACTGGTTGTGTTATAAGATGAATGTGACTGTGTACACATCGAAATATCACACACTAACTTTCTACTGGTTGTGTTATAAGATGAATGTGACAGTGTACACATCGAAATATCACACACTAACTTTCTACTGGTTGTGTTATAAGATGAATGTGACAGTGTACTCATCGAAATATCACACACTAACCTTCTACTGGTTGTGTTATAAGATGAAGGTGACCGTGTAGTCATTGTCACACACTAACCTTCTACTGGTTGTGTTATAAGATGAATGTGACAGTGTACTCATCGAAATATCACACACTTACCTTCTACTGGTTGTGTTATAAGATGAATGTGACAGTGTACTCATCGAAATATCACACATTAACCTTCTACTGGTTGTGTTATAAGATGAATGTGACCGTGTAG